ATAGTAGCAGTGCAGTTGGAATACATTGTATCACTATATATGTACTTATAGTAGCAGTCCAGTGGGAATACAATGTATCACTAAATATGTACTTATAGTAGCAGTCCAGTTGGAATACAATGTATCACTATATATGTACTTATAGTAGCAGTCCAGTGGGAATACAATGTATCACTACATGTACTTATAGTAGCAGTCCAGTGGGAATACAATGTATCACTATATATGTACTTATAGTAGCAGTCCAGCGAGAATAAAACGCAATAGATATGTACTTCTAGACAATGTAGCATTGCATTGCACATGTTGATAACGCGTACCTGGATCTCTTGGGTCACAAAGACAGTGAGCAGGGCCTTGTACAGCGGCATCTGGTCAAGATTCTTGTCCAGCAGAATTCGGTTCAGCAGATCACTCACCTCATTGGAGTATGACGACAGCACCAAATAGACTATGGTGTTTTTAAGCGCCTGTTTCATTAGAACGAGACAAGAGTATATAGTAGGGTTTTAGGGTTTATCAGAAAGTATATAGGACGACTAAGCCCAGAGTCATCTGAGGGATACTATATGATACGATTGTGTTCAGAATGATTCAAGGGTGAGTATTCAATACGATAATGCCGAAGCAGTATTCCAAATGCCTGTTGGGCTGCGGGGCCTCCAGGTACAAGCACATGTTGTGTCAGTTGTCTTGAAAAGGACGTATTCTAAGGCCCTAAAATTTACCCCCCCATTTTTTTTGATTTTCGCAACAGCTTGGAATACCTCGGCCGATAAACATTTCTACTGCCACTTAAACTTGGACTGTTAAATCCCCGCCACGACCACTTGCAAGTCAACTCAGATGATTACTTATAAACTAAATAAACACGCTCTCCATACCACAGGCAGTATTTGTACCATTCGATTGTAATCTCACTACCACTTGCACGTCAACTCAGATGAATAAATATAGAAACTAAATAAACACGCTTTCCATACCTCAGGCAGTATTTGTACCATTCGGTTGTACTCTCACTACCACTCATGCAACTCTACAGCCGACTATATGCCTGTACTACACATTGGGACTAGCAACCCGCACATCCCCTAGCGCGCTTTTGAAGTCAATAGTACGCTTTGCACCATCAGACCCTCTCCTCACTCTGTCTTAAGTACACGTGCACATCACTCACATCACTTACATGCTTCCATTGGGCGGGGTCGTCTTTGACCGTCTGTGTGTTGTAAATGGACTGGTAGTATTTGCAGATGTCCAGATACGAGTCATCGTGCTGTGACATCTCAATCATCAGATTGAAGAACCGCAACTTCTCAGGCTGTGCAGAGTGGTAAGGTTTAGGGTCTAGAGTTGGTTTAAGGTTTAGGGTTTATGTTTCTTCTTCTCAGGTTGTGTACAGGGGAGATATACGATCACCACATGTGCACTCAGAAGGTAGAACCTGAACCACCGGCAATGCCACAGCTATGTCGATCTAGAGATGTGTCGTCAGTGGGGTTGGGAAGTATTCATAAGCTATTGTCAGAAAACGACCACAGGCCAAAACAAACATTTCATGTCAGCAGAACAATGCCCTATATGGCTGAAGGGCAACTAATGTAACCACACAGGTGGAAGAAACAACAGCAGAGGCACACACGAATAGTGGCTTTGAGTATCTTTGCATTCCCCCACCCTGAGCCTATTGCGATTTGCCTGCCCACTCTTAGCCTAAATAGCACCCACGGGCTAAGACCACTTACTGAGAAGGCTTCCTTGTCGAATGTGCGTGGACTGATTTTCTTGCTGATGATTTGCGTGCGGATGTAGTCCTTCTTGGCCAGCATCAGGCGCATCTGTTCCAGAATGAACTCAATCTTCTCCTGCTTCTCCATCGTACCGAATGTCTCAACCTAGCACGCCAGTTGGTGGCCGGACAGGGTTAGAACCAATTAACAACCACAAACGTCTACCGACAGACCCACACCAGCATGACGTACACATACAATACAGGTGCGCCTGATGCATACGCACTTGAGTATATGATTATATATTCAGATTGCTTGTATGCATATTCCGTGTGCATACGTGTGTTTCGTAATCTGCCTCATCCATGGACACATCTCTCCCACCCACCCACAATAAAAACCCTAGAACCCTAAACCTAAACAAATGGGCACAGACCACAAAATCAGACAACAGACCACAAAATCAGACACAGCGAAGACGCACACAACGTTCAAGCGATGCATACGACCAAAAACTATCCCAAAAAAAGGAAAAAGAAAAAGAAAAGGAAAACAAAAGGCTGAACTAGTTGGTAGCGCCCACTTTTGATCCTTTAACGATTTAATAGATACACATACGCAAATGAACACACACGTGCACACGATATGCAATGAAACACATGTGGACTTAACGATTTAATAGATGCACATACGCAAATGAGCTGACACGTGCACACGTAAGCAATGCAATGCATGTGATACACATACGCAAATGAACACACACGTGCACACGAGATGCAATGCAAATGGTACCTGCAGTTCCTGCAGCACATCGGCTGCCCCACTGACATCGCCGTCCTTCTCTTTGATGGTTGCCAATGACATGGTCAGACGCGCTCGCTCATTCTCAACGTAGATCTGGGTGTGTGTGTGTGATGAGACAGGGTATGTGCGTTAACATCGCAAGCGCAGGTGAGCAGAGGGCGCAGTTGCTGTACATCTACTCAAAGAAGAAGGTCAGTGGAGGGTAGCATGTGTACGTATGCGTTTAACGGGCATGTGCGCATATGTATACGCCCACGACGTGTAGAGAGTCTTCCTACGTCACCACTTGTTGTTTGTCCACTTGGTAATTGCCCACTTGTTGTGGTTTGTCAATTCCAATCGAAATAAACGGCACAGATCAGTGCTTGCCAGATCATTTTGAGCGAGCGTGCCGCGGGCATTGTGTGCTACGACTGAAACATTACAGATGAGCTGCTGACAGACCACACAGGGGTTTCTTATCGGCCCATATGTATGTGTGCGTGGTGTTGCAGTATGTTGCTAAGCCACACAGCACATGCAAGTACACACCCACCTACCTTTCCCGCAGTGACGTCTCTGAGCGTCTCGATGAGCTCCAGCTTCTGTTCCATATTGTCAGTCTTGGCTACAAACTCGAACGCCTTCTGCACCATCTTCACCACCGCCTGTGTAGTGTGTGCCGATGCATTTCCGTGCAAGTGACACAGACGATGTGTGGACATGCGAGTGTTTTAGTACGAGTTTGGTTGGGTGTGTGAGCGTAACAGAATCGCTGCGAATTGGGCGCTGACGTGTGTAATTGTGATAGTACAAGGTAGGCAAAGGAGTATGATGTGTGCATGCACGGGTGCAGTAGCGTGTGGATAGCCATGTCCAATTCACGCACATTGCCGCGAAGCCAAAAAAACAACTACCCAGCAATAGAAGTACATATGCATTCTTCAATAGACATGTACACACCTTTTAAAATCACAATAGACATATACACACCTTTTAGAATCACAATAGACATTTACACACCTTTTAAAATCACAATAGACATATACAAACCTTTTAGAATTACAATAGACATTTACACACCTTTTAAAATCACCACCCCTGGCACATACTTGTGTAGCAAACGATGATACAGATGACACACACGCACACTCACTAGTTTAATCACATATCACACACACCCATTCACCAGTTTAATCACATGAAACACACACCCACTCCCCAGTTTAATAACATAACACAAACGCACACTCACTAGTTTAATCACATATCACACACACCCATTCACCAGTTTACTTACATGAAACACACACCCACTCACCAGTTTAATAACATAACACACACACACCCACTCACCAGTTTAAGCTGCCCTCTTCTCTTGGTCAACATGACTATGTGTTCCTGCATGCCCTTCAAGTCACCCGCCTCAAAGCAGATCTCCACAATGCACACCAGCACCTTCCCAGTCGACTGCATGTCCGCCCCTGTGCGAGTCAGCTTCTCCATGGCAAGCAACTTGTCAACAGCTTCCGTTTGCTTACCATCTGTGATGGGTGATGGGAATTCGAAGAAAAAAAATAAGCAGTATGAGTATCCGATAAAAACTAAAACATACATACACATACATATATATACATACACACACACACACACACACACATATATATATATATAAATATATATATACAAATACATATACATACACACACACACATATAAATATACACAAACACACACACACATATATATATAAATATATATAGACATATTTTTGTATGAATATATATGCATGGATAAGAAAAAAAAACCAAAGGTAGGATATTTATACAAACATACGCACACACACACACATATATATATATATACATATATATATATACGTATATAAATATGTATACATTTTATATATATACGTATATATATATATATATATATAACTATACACAATACATATACATTTACATAGATATACATAAATAAATATATATATATACATACATACGTACACATAAATATAAATATCTCTGTATAAGTGTTCGCTTCTAGTTTTAAATATAAGCATGTCAGCTCGACTCAGATGGACGAACGAATAAGAAATTGTATGAATATCGAGGTAAATACATTTAGACGTTCGTGTATAGATATATATACACACAATAAGACATACAAACCCATATAGATGTCCATCTTAATTTATGAACCCTTGACGTATTACAA